CCACCCACCCATCTACCAGCCCATCCACCCACTCTTCCACCCCGTCATCCACCCACTCATCTACCCACCCATCCATCCATCCATCCACCCATCCATCCACTCATCCACCCTCCCATCCACTCACCCATCCACTCATCCACCCATGCATCCCTTCCTTCACATGTGGCAGTCCCGCCAGGCTAAAGGACACGTAGCTGGACAGAGGAATCCTCACTGAAGTGTGCAGGCAAACAGGTGTGCAAATATGTGGTGACTGTGGGTGGTGACACACTCAGGGCTCCATGATGGTGCCCCTGGTCTAGGGTCTGGAAGCCACACTTGGGCATATCGTAAGCCTTGACCGGCCAGGGCCGGGACCTGAGGCCAGGATGGGCCAGGAAGTTGCAGGCCTCCAGGATACGGGCACCTTCAGGGAATGTGCAAGTTACCAGAGTGCTGTGTGCGTATCTGGGAAAGGACATCAATAAGGCAGGTGGGTGGGGTCTCATTAGAAGCCCTGGATTTGGGGTTTGCATCTCAGGAAGCCCACTCCCACAGTGGGTAGGGGGACCAAGAAAGTAGCAACGAGTGCCAGTGTGGGGAGGCTGTGGCAGGGGGGAAGCCAGAGGACTGCATGTAGGGCAAGCCCCAGGCAGCTCCCCGGGGGCAGGAGTGTGGCCAGAGGGCTCAAGCTGAGGCTGCCGCACCAGGAGGGTTTGAGACAGAGGGAGCGAGCACAGGAGTGGCCCAGCCCCACCAAGGTCCCCTGGAGGGGGCAGGAGATGTCACCAGGCACGGTGTGGAGGGACGGGCTCGGCAGCAGGGGAGGCTGGCCAGGGTGACTCCGGCAGAGCAGGAGGCTGGAGCCCCCTCGGCGTCCCCCAGCCTGCCCTCAGCTGGGACGCGCTGTGCTGACTGCCAGCCCCAAGTTCTCCCACTCCCTCCGCCAGCCCTCACCGCCTCTGGGCCTCCAGCTCCTGGCGCCGTTGCTGGTGGAAAAGGTGCCTGAAGGCGTCCCCACCCTGCGCCAGGATCAGCTCCTTCTCAGCCTGGGCCTTGTGCGCGGCCAGCTCTGCCCGGGCCTGGCCCCACGCCTGGAATTTCCGCAGCGTTTCCTGGGGAAAGAACACCAAGGCGACAGACAGCATTATCCCAGGTGAGCACATGCACGCACACACACACGCACGCACACGCACACGCACACACGCACGCGCACACGCACACGCACGCACACACACACGCACGCACAGGCACACGCACGCACGCGCACACGTGCGCACACACACGCATGCGCACGCACACACACATGCGCACGCACGCACTCACGCACGCACGCGCACGAGCTCTCCTCTGAATAGGTGCCCTAAAGCAGTCCAGGCGCCTGTGGACCCCCCGGCAGCCCCCTGCCCGCAGCTGCTCTTCGCACCCTCTCGCCTCTGAGCCTTGGTGGGTGCTGTTCCCCGCCCTTCCCCACACCGCCCGGCCCTGAGTGCCTCCTGGGGTGTCGGTGCTCCTCCCACAAGGCCTGGCTCCTGCTGGGCTTGGGTGCCAGCACAGACCCGTGGGCAAGACGTGGCCTCCAGGGAGCGACTGAGCGGGCGAGTGGGGCCCCGGAGGACGGACGCCCAGGCGGGACAATGCCAGGAGGCGGGGGCCAGGCACGGCGCCTACCCGGCTCGCGGTGATGCTGCCCTTCAGCGCCAGCACCGCGTCCATGCGCCTCTGCAGGTGCTCCCGGGAGGCCGTCTCCGCCTCCTTCTCCTGCTGTCGGATTCTGGAGGAAGGCACGTTTTTAACCAGGGTGTCCGTGGGTGTCACGGGTGTGACCTGTGATTACAGAGCTGCAGGAGCCTTGGGGCTGGTCGTCTCCACCAAGGATGTGACTAAAGAGACAGCACGAGAGGTAAATGGAAAGGCCCGTCAGCTGCGAGCCGAGTGATAAGGACACGTGTGGGCAGCTCGCTTCTCCAGAGACTCGTCGCCCCTCACGGTCCTCTTGTGAAAATGAGCAGCATCTCAGGGCTAAAGATGCAGCTTTACCGGCTTTGGATGATAAGGCGGTGATTCATCAACAAAATCGGGGCGTTTCAAAATAAAAGCGAGTGACCCCCATGGTCAAGTTTCTCCTCAAAGCACGGGAAGGAAGAGGGATCCTCGCAGAGAGCCCTACCTTCCCAGGGACGCCCTCAGGAATGTCACCGCGACCCTGTGGTTCCTCTGGGCCTCCTCCACCAGCTTCTGGTGCCTGAGTCCGTGCTCCCTCTGGATGTGTGAGGATCTCCTGTGGTGACGGGCAGCGAGAAACAGAGACACGGTGTCACCGTGCGAACTCTGCTCGCCAGGCCCAGTGGGGAGTGCCGGAGCAAGGACCGGGGGGCATGGAGGCAGCTGCGTGTTAGATTAGATGCTCCAGGCTCTGGTGCCAAGGGGGGCGCCGAAGGCGAGGTCCGACCCAGGCTGGCCATGGCACGGGGTGGGGAGCAGTCAGGAGGGCCCTGGGGAGGCCAGATGGTCAGGGCAAGCCTGGGGGGCTGAGGCCCCAAGGAGGAGGCACTCTGCAGGGTTGGGGAAGGCTGGGTCGGGTGGCCGGTGAAATGCTTGGGGACCAGTCTGGCAGGCGGCTGGGGTGCCCGCCCTGCCCGGGAGACTCATGACAGAGGCAGCCCCAGGGGTGCCACGAGAGGCAGGTGGAGCCCAGAGGTCAGCTTGGCAGGGAAGAGGGAGGAAAGAATGTGGGGCTCTAGTGGCTGGGGTAACCCCGTGGCCAGGGGCGTTTCAGGGAGGGCTGGCGCCCCTACCGGATCCTCAGCAGCCGGTTCCGCTCCGCCTTCCCCACGGCCTCCTGCTCCTGGCGCAGTAGATCCGCAGCGTGAACCTGGAGGCGCCTCCCCATGGCCTCCCTCTCCTCCTGGACAGACTTCCGCAAGGCCTCGAACTGCCTCTCCTTGATCTCAATGTGCCACATGGCGCTCCTGGCAAGCAAGAGGCCTTTTGTTTATGGTAGCCAAGGTGCTAGAGGCCGGGGGGGGGGCCCTCCACGCAGCATCCATTGTGGGATGTGGGGGGCCTGGTACCAAGGTTTGACAGACACTCCAGGCGGATGTGGACACCACTGAGGGCTGTTCCCTCCTCCAAGGATCCCTCTTGGCCCAAAGTCGCCCGGAGACTGAGGTCCCCCAGCCCTCCCTGCCTCCAGCCTTAGGAAAATCACGATCCCATGGAGTCCAACCTGGGCAAGAGCCTGGCCCTACACTTCCTGCAGGCCCGTGGCACTCACCTGGCCTGAGGGCTGGGTCAGTTGACCGTGGTGGGCCCCCTGCCTGCCCTGGGGAAAGCATTTGGAAAGAGATGACCGTGCCCGTCTTCTGCTGGGCAGGAGGGTCGCTGGAGCCCCCAAAGACCACCCCCCACACAGACTTCAGATGTGCTTGGGGTGGGGGTTCCGGAGCATGGTGGCAGCCAGCTCTGTCCAGGGCCATGTCCGGCTCTTGGCTAGATGACGAGGGACCTGCCCAACCTCCAGTCTTGGGCGAATCCGTTCTTGACTCAGTGAGTGCGGGTGCCCAGCACCATGCAGGAAGTTTCCTGCTAATCTTCTGGTGGCTGAGTCCATGTTGCAGCAAGAGGGTTTAGGCCGAGCCCGTTCCTCCCTGGGATGCAGAGACCATCTTCAGGTACTCCCGCCAGTGTCCTTTTACAAAGCGAGGTGAGGATTCCTACCAGCTGAAGAGCTGACATACTTGCCGGTCAGGGCGATGTAACGACTGTTCCACCTGGCAGACACACATTCAGGCCAGAGCTGGCCACATTGGGTCAGAACCGGTCCGACGAAGCCGGATGGCAGAGTTCCAGCGGCACCCGGCCTCCCTTCCGACAGCAAAGCAGGCGCCTCACACTCACGCAGCGTGGCGTTTGCTGTGCGTTTTCAGTAGACGCTCTTAATCAGGTTAAAATTTCCTACAATTCCAGGGGCCGGCCCGTGGCTCACTCGGGAGAGTGCGGTGCTGATAACACCAAGGCCACGGGTTTGGGTCCCATATAGGGATGGCCGGTTGGCTCCCTTGGGAGAGTGCGGTGCTGATAACACCAAGGCCACGGGTTTGGGTCCCATATAGGGATGGCCGGTTGGCTCCCTTGGGAGAGTGCGGTGCTGACAACACCAAGTCAAGGGTTAAGACCCCCTTACCGGTCATCTTTGGAAAAGAAAAATTCCTCCAATTCCTACTTTGTTAAAAGTTTAAAAAAAAAATTATGAATATGGAGTTGAGCCCAATCTCCTTCCCCACTGCAAGACCCCGTGGCAGTGGTCCCTCAACATCTTTAAAAAATCACAAACGTGCGTTGAATCGAGGTGCTCATGCAGCTTTTCTCCTTCTGTGTGTAATGTCAAGATTTCTCACGTTAAGCCTTTTTTGGGGTTCCTAAGATGCAAACCCCAGCTTGGCCCAGTGTGTGTGTACCACTGGGCTAGATTCTGATTTTTAATGCTTCATTTATGACTTTTCCATCGATTGCCTCAGTGGGGTTGGTTCCTGCGTTTCCTTTCTCGTGCCGTCCTCTTGGTTCTGGCACCGAGATCACACCACCTTATTTTAAAAATCGGGCGTACTGTGTTTTTTTGTTGGGCATTTTAAGTAACGGCTCCTTTTCTCATGGTAGTGGGTCATGTCAGGGCTCCTGGGACTGGCAGCACCGGCTGGCCTCTCGAGCGGGGGCGTCCTCGTCTCTCCTGGGTCAGTGCACCTCCTGGCACGGCCACATGTGGGATCGTGTCTCCTCATCCTGCCCGAGGCTCCGCGGCCCTTTCATCTCTGGAGTCACGCTCTCATCAGTTCTGGAAGGGTCTCGGCCATTATTAATTGAACATTGCTTCTCCCATTCTGTGATCTTTCTCTCAAGTGGCCGAGTGGCAATTTGAGTTAACAGCTTGCAGGGTCCCTACGTAAAAGGCAGGACGTGTCTTAGTCCCTTCCTGCTGCTACAGCAAAATACCAGAGGCTGAGTAATTTATAAACAACAGACATTTACTGTCTCACAGTTCTGGGGGCCGGGAAGTCCGCGATCAGGTGCCACAGGCTCTGTGTCTGGTGAGGCCCCTTCCTCATGGATGGCACTGTCTAGGTGTCCCCACATGGCAGAAGGATGCACGGGCAAAAGGGGACAAACGTGCTGCCTCAGACCTTCACGAGGGCTCTGATCCCTCCCAAAGACCCTGCCTCTTAGTCCCATCACCCTGGGGGCTAAGTTCAAGCATGTGGATCTTGGAGGGACACGTACATTCAAACCAGAGCAGACGCTGACTGGGAAAGATTGGGATTCTGAGACAATTGAGGACGTGTGAGTGGATTTGGACCCATCTGAGCATCAGAGCCCCCAAATCCGTCTGACTGTTGACATCGGCAGCAGCTCCCCCTCCCCGCTGGCCAGCAGGCTGTGACCTGAGAGGAGGCGGCCCCGGAGGCACACGGCTGCCACGCATGGGTGTGATGTGCGGGCGGGATGAACTCTAAGGTTGCCAGGCCAGAGAGGACAGAGCCCGACTGCAGCCGGGGATGGACGTGTGCATGTGGGCGTCTGCCCAGCTCACCCGAGCACTCGGAGGAGTCCAATTGTCGCTCGGCTGGGTGAGGGATCCTGGACAAAGCTGAGGCACCAGAAATTCCTTGGAATCCTGTGGAAGAAGGAATCCAAGCATTTGGAGAAATGGCTGGACCACGATGGCAGCAGGTCAGCGAGTCGTGGCGTGGATGGACAGAGTGATTTGGGGCAGTGGCTAATTGATCTTGGGGTCCTCGGCACTGAAGCAGGTGGAGGTCCCACTAAAGTCGCACGATAGCTGAACAGCCAGTGTGGTCAGTCGGGGAGGGACGGCGATGGAAGCAGGCCAGGAAGACGGAGGGGGGCCGCAGCGAGATGGACGCTGGCCCCGTGAGACCCGCCTCGGGCTTCTGACCTCCAGAACCGGAGGATGGTGCATCTGTGTTGTGTCGGGCTATGGAGTTTATGGTGACTTGTGACTGTGCTGATAGGAGACGGATGCAGTTAGAGAGGCGCCCCTCACAGGACCCCATGAGGCAGGCTGGGATGTGAGGCACCCCCGGGGGCTGTGCCCAGGCTGGCCTGCTCCCGTCCACAGCTGTCCTCCTCTCCTCTGCACTGAGCTTGGTGCAGGAACATGGCGGTCACAGGGCCCGGGCTGCCCCCTGCCTGCTGCCACCACCACGGAAATGAGGTGGCACAGGGCGCCCTATTTGCTTATTCATGGAAGAGCCCTGAGTGCCTGGGACAGTCTGGCACACAGCGGGTGCGCAGTCCCTGTGTGTTGAATGGCTCAGGTGGCTCCAGCGCACAGTACTGACAGCGACAGTGCGGGGGGGCGCTGTGTGAGCAGGTGGCCCCCACTCCTGCAGCACGGCCCTCTCTCGGGGCCTCATCAGGAGGTGCCCATGACTCGTGAGCCTGGTGTACAGAAGCTTCTGCCTGGCAGGTGGACTCTAGCAGACGTGGACTCCTGCAGCAACACAGCCCACGCAGCAGGGTGGCGGGCACCGCCAGGGGAGGAATTTCAGGAGTGTGCATCTGGCGGTCCCACTGCGTGGAAGGGGAGCTGGGGAGCTCTGCACAAATGCCCAGGCAGCAGCTGACAGCTTGGCTGCTGGTCAGAGGCCTGGGACGAGGCCTCAAGGTCAGCAGCATGGACATCTCAGAGTGGCTGGACATCTCAGAGTGGCTGGACATCTCAGAGTGGACCTAGAGTGTGAGGAATTAGGGTCCCATGAGAATGCCCCCAGAAGGGCCCCCTCTACAGAGAAGGCTCTCATCAGCGAGATGGACCAGATAATGTCACGTGTGGACATCAGCCAGCCTCGCCCTTGCTGCCAGCATTGGTTCAAGGGCTGTGGCACACAGACGGGGGCTCCATGTGGGTTGAGTGACACAGTCCTGCCCCTCTAAGGCTGGCCTGTCCACTGCCGCTGCTGAATGCCCAGCCCACAGCAGGGGAACCCATATCAGCCCCATTTTGACACCATTTCCTCCAGGACCTGGGAGGTCCTCCCCCATGGTGGGAGCAGTGACTTGTGCGTTTGGTCACAGGACGGCAGCTGCAGCACAGGCAGAGCCGCTGCCTCGCTCTTCCAGGCAGGGCGGGCAGTGCCTGCTCCCAGTCTCCATGTGTCCCCCTGGCCTGCACAGGCTGGAAAGCTCACCCCCAATCTGTGCCACTGGGGCAGCAGCCCCTGGGGCTCGCAGGTCTGTGTCGCTTGGAGGGTCCTTCCCAGTGTGGGCTGAGTCCTCCCCACCCTCTGTGAGCTGCCGATACCCCAGGCAGAGCTCCTGCTTGGTCACGCTGGCCAGGGACAACGCCGACGTCCGCAGCCCAGACTCTGAGCAGCAAATATGTAACGCAACGCAGGTATGTCTCTCTCTCCTGGTGGGTGCTTCTCCAGAGGCTGAGAAGCACGTTATGAAACGGTGTGGCGGGGGCCGGCTGGTTGTCTCCGCCAGCTGGTTGTCTCTGCCAGCTGGTTGGCTCCGCTGGCTGGTTGTCTCTGCTGGCTGGTTGGCTCCACCGGCCGGACGCCTCTGTTACAACACCAGGGTCAGGGATTTGGATCCCTGCGCCAGCCAGCCAGCCGCCAGAGCCACAGATGAAAACACAACCGTGCCGCTTGTTCCGTGGAAGCGCAAAGAACGGGAAATGAGGGAAAAGAAACTGACTTCCCAGCTGCTAAGAACGTAGACGAACACGGAGAAACTGAAAACACTTAAAATATGAACACCTACTTCTAACTATCTCATTTTACAAGCTGCCTTTCCATCTTTAGGCAGCTTGAAAGTCAAGTGCAAAACCCACTCAGATCTGACTCTTCACCTTCACACGGGACGAGCCCCGGGGGCTCTGGGACGCGCCTGGCTCTGCGCCTGACTTACTCGCTCTCCTTCAGCATGGCCGTGACTTTCGACTGCAGGTCTTTCTCGTTCCCCAGCTCCATGATCAGGCGTCTGGATGTGGCCTGCAGACGGCCCACGGCTGCCCTGAGCACAGCGACAGGGAACAGGATGGGCCCGGGTCACACCGAGAGGCAGTGAGGCCCAGCCTGGGGTCTTCCCACCACGGTCACCTGTCTCTCCCAGGGCGTCATCCAGCTGGTTCCAGCCCCATTATACCCCGAGATGTAATCATTACACAGTCTTGGTGAGGCCTCCCTGGAGGAGCCGGGAGGGCAGGGCCTTGTCTATAAGAACAGCACTGAGTGACCCCGACCAGGGCACCTGGCCATGTGGACAATGTGGATCAGAACCCTTGTACACGCATGGTGCTGGGAAGTGGGCTTTGAGCAGCCAGTCGGGTCTGGCGATTCTCTGCTATTCTCCCCGGAATCAGGCCGGTTAAAAAACCTGACAGTGGAGCAGCGTCCGTCACGGCGGCAGGGCCCGGGCTTCAGGCCTTGCGAGGCTGTGACTATGTGAACTGCATGGGCTCCAGCCTCGTCTGCCCCTCGACCCTCAGGACCCCGGCCCTAGCCACCAGGATCCCCCCTCTCCCACGGCCAGTGGGACCGGGTCTCTGATCCCAATCCCAGCCACGGCGTTCTTCTCTCTCCTGGCTGCATGCGACAGCTCCGGGAGTTAGCAGCCAGGACCTTCCCGCTGGGGCCCTCCTCAGGTCACTACACCCTATCCCTGTCACCCTGAGGTGCTGCACATGGACATCACGGGCTCCGGGGAGCTGGGTGCCTGTCAGTGAACATTGGTGTTTCCAATGTCCCTGAGCCCTCCCTGTTGCTCAAGGCAAAAGTGGTCCTGATGCAATTTTTGCGGACCTCAAAGCCACCCAGCCCTTGCCTCAAAGTGACCTGTCCTTTGACAGCTCTGTAGTCCTTGTGGTGCTTGTATCTGTGTTTTTGTGTGTTGTCTGGAGTGCAGCTGTCTGCTGCCTCACATGCCTGAATACAGGTGGTGCTTAACACGTGTCTTTGAGTGAATGAATGAACCTCTGCAGTCCTATGCCAACCAGTGTGTCATCGCCTGCCCATGTCTCCTCCCAGTGCCACCCTCCTGGCCCTGCGGGATGACCTACGTGTTGCTGGCCTCTCTCTCCACTGCGATCTCGGCCGCCACGTGCTCCTGCTGTCTGCGGATGAGGTCCATCCTCTGGCGGCAAGAGCGCAGCTCCCCTCTGGAGTGTGAAAGCAAGAATCTGGATAAGGGTTTCCTGATTCCAGCCGGCCTCTGAAGGGCCAGTGGGACCAGCAGGGCAGGGTCAGGCCCCCAGCTCTCCCCTCGCCCAGGCCTGTGGGCACATCCTCCTCGCCAAAGGTCCCTCCAGCCCAGCCAAGTGACACGAGCAGGGTCTTGCCCATCTGTTTGTTGAATACCCTGGCCCACGGGGGCCAGCTGTGTGGCCTCCACCCAAAGGTGACATGCTCTCGGTAGACAAGGTTGGCGCAGGAACTGAGAGCTAACATAGATCTGCATAAATCACCAAGCTCGGGCACACAACGGGCACACCATGAGAGGTAGGGGGGCCACAGAAAAGGCAGGTGGCTGCAGCCGCTCATCAGTGTTCTAGAACAGACCACACAGGCCCAGACCAGCGGCTCCGTGTGCGGAATCCTGGTTCAAACGCCGGCTCGCGCCATGTGACGCGCACCTCAGTTAAAAACACCAGAACACGCCCAGAGCTCTGGCTCCAGAAGACGTCTGGAGGACACAGAGAAATGTCCATGGGCTGCTGTCGGATGACGAGAGGGAAACGCTCATTTTCAGGGGAGGCAATGGTGCCGGGCTCACGCAGAGGAGGTTTCTATGTTTTAGGAGACGCTGAAATACCTAGGAGTGAAGTATCGCGCCTGCAGTTTGCTTCCAAATAATTCAGGAACAAAGCAAAACAAAGCCAAAAAACAACGACAAAAAACGTAGCTATAACACAACACAGATAAAGAAATCACAGCCAGCGGCCAGCCTGGAGTGTCGCTGGGTGGTGTGCAGGTGACAGCGCACTGTGCGTTTGCAGCTTTTCTGTGTTTAAATGTCTTCCTCGGCGTATGGGGCACGCGAGCAGCGCTGCTGACCACCCCGGATGAAGAACAGGGCGCGTCAGACCCGAGCACAAACCCACACAGACAGGGCCCCCGTGGGCAGGACGCCACCCTCTCGCTGCCGCCAGGGCCTCGCCCGCCCCAGGCGCTCAGCCCGTGCCACGCAGGAGTCAGGTGGCCATCGTGGTTTGGGTGGACCCGGGAGCTGCTGCAGTTCTCGGGAAGCTTGACCTCCCGGAGGGGTTTTCTGAGCTTCACCTGAGGATACCCTGGTGGGACCCCCCAGAGGGACTCTCAAGGAGACGGCAGGAGGACCTGCCCTGCCGCACGCCTACGTGGCACTCCCAGGACGCAGGAGGAGCTGTCCCCCGGGCCAGGCCGCGCCCACCTCATCTTCTGGATGAAAAGCTCTTTGTCTTCGCGCATCTTATCCAGGAAGCCCAGGCTCTCCCGCAGGTGGGACGGCCGCGCTCTGTCTCCAGCGGCTGCCTCCCTCTTCGTGTGGCCGGCACCGGTGGCCTGTTCTTTCACTGAACTTAAAGGAGGAAGGACACCCGCTGCCACCCACACCACCCACACACCAGCACGCGGCGCGGCCCTCGGGACCCACCCCGCGAGCACATGTCCCTCTGGGGGGACAAAAGGCGCTGCCCACCCGTGCCAGTTACCGGCAGCATCCAGGGGCAGCCTGAGAAAGAGCCTCAGCCTCAGACTCTGGATCCTCTAATTTGTTTCTTTCTAGAAATCAAGGCAAGAATTAGGAAATCAAGAAGCAGATCAAACACTCAGTCTAAACTCTTAGGATAGATCTTGATAAGCTCAGACTTCATGGGCGACAAGGGGTCTGAGAGCGGTGGGTCTCAAAGCGTGGCCTGGAGAACCCTGGGGGTCCCCGAGACTCTTTCAGGGGTCTACAAAGTAAATATTGAAAGATATAACTGACATAAACAAAAGCTCTTTGGGTCTTCAGTAATTTATAAGAATGTGAAGGGGTTCTCAGACAAAAAAGTTTGAGAATCACTGTCTTAGAAAATCACCGCAGACTCCCAGCCAAACACGGCAAGTTCAACTACTTTATTTCCACTCCTTCCTTAAATCTCAGTCAAAATGACTGAAAAGGAATTTCAAAAGGCACAAATCCACAGTCACAATGAGAACAGCAGAGGGGAGGTGGGGGACGAAACAAGGCCACGCGATGGCAGAAGCCGGAATGCTCGCGACAGGTGCCAGTGGCTCCACGCCGCGCACCTAGAGAGTGAGCCCCAGACAGGGCAGGTGGGGCGGTGCCCAGTGCCCCGTACTAGACGCAAATCAAGGCACATCTCAGAAAAATTTCACGTCATCAGAGATTTAGAAAAAAAAATCTAAAAGCTTCCAGGAAAAGAAAACAAAAATAGGTCACATTCAAAGGACTGGGATAAAAATGGCATCAGATTTCTCAGCAGTGATGTTGGAGACTAGAGGACTGTGGTCGGCCCCTTTCAAAATTCTCAGCCATAATTTATCTTCCTTTCAACTAAAGACAATAATATAAGCTCCCCCTTTGAGAAAAAATTCGAATTTAAACGAGATAGTCTCCCTGGGGGAAAAAAGGAACGAGAGAGCAACTATGAAGCACATCGGTTGTCTTTCTTGTTGCTGAAATTTGTGTTATCTGTGAGAGGAGCTTCTTTACCATCTTCCAAAAGGGCTGCAGTGTCCAAAAGCTCCTGCTCGGGGAAAAGGCTGGCGGCTTCTTCCATACCGGGAAACAGAAATTAGCTACAAAAAAAAGATCAACAAAATCATAGATTTTTATTATAAATATAAAAAAATGGACTTCATAAGAATTACCAATTTATCTTATGAATAGACATTAAGCTACGGACTAGGAAAAATATTTGCAGCACGTCTATCTGACAAAGGCTTCATATCCAGAATATATAAAGAGCTCCCAAATATCTACAATATAAAGTTTAAACTCTAATTTTAAAAGGTAAACATATTTAAAATAGATATAGGAAAAAAAGATATGTAAATGGCCAATAAGCATGCGAAACCTTGTGTCAACAGGAAAACACAAATTTAAACCACAACATACTACTATACACTGATTAGAATGCTCAAATAAAAAATGCCGCTAACACTAAGTGTTGGCATGGGTGTGGAGCGACTGGCACTCACACACATTGCTGGTAGGGGTGCAAGACAGTACTCTGGAATACCGCTGGGCAGTTTCTTGTAAACATATGCTTACCACATGACCCCGCAACCCTACTCCAAGGTGTTTACCCCAAAGAAACAAAAATATGTCCACAAAAAACTTATGTGAAACTGTTCATAGCAGCCTTAATCATAATACCCCCAACTGGAAACAACTCAAATGTCCATCAGTATGAGAGTGGTCAAATACCTTCTAGTACAGCCATGTAGTGGACTAATACTCAGCAATAAAAAAGAAAGACACACTGACACATACAACGACACGGATAAATCTCAAGAGCATTATGTTAAGTCAGGGAAGCCAGACACAGAGGACACATGAAGTTCCAACACAGGCGAGACGGACTGATGCTGACAGAACCAGATGGTGGTCTCTGGGTTGGAGGTGGGCGAGGAGGGAACCTGGAGGGCACAGAAATGTGCTGTACCTTCTTCTGGGCGGTGGTTACACGGAGCACACAACTGCCAAAACTTGTCCAAGTGAGCACTTGAGATCTGTGCGTTCCATTACATGTTAATGTTATCTCAGTAGGACACGCACACACACTCAGCTGCTGCTTAAAAATGATTCTTAAAGAATTTCAGGATATTTATTACACTCTGGTTTTCATTTTGGAAAGTCAGGATCTTCCCTGTGTAGAGCTATTGCCGCTGGGTCTTACGTGTCCGTGGGTTGAAATTAAAGACTTGCACTTAAGAGACAATGTTAAAGACTTAAGCTCTTTAATACCTTAATCTTTCTTGTGAAAACTAAATTTGATGTCTGATTTCTATTTATTTTCTACTATACCTTAAATACGTAATTGGTTTTAATGCCTATTTATCACATTATGCCTGTATCACGATTAATATACAAAAGAGTTGATGTTAAATGCTTACATGTCAATGCACATATTATAGAAATATATATTTTATGTTGAGAATGTACACAATTTCACATTAATGAGTAATTCCAGGTGAAGTGTACATAAATGTTGATATTATGCAGGAAATGCTAAAGTTGTACAGGAGTTTGTTTTTCATTGCTTAATTCTGTAATTACTTCTGAACAATTCACTGAAAAATATTTTCAATGCCTAATAACGTTCTTATGATAAGTTATTAACAAATTAATGCCAGTAGTTTATCTTTTTAAAAAGCTACAGAGAAACAATCATGCACTAAAGTCCTAAGAGGCAGAATTTTAAAGCATCTTGTAAAATACCCACAACATTCCTCCCACTTGCAAGAGCCAATTAACCTACTAGTCTGCGAATGGCAGGGTTTTCAGAAGATATTTACAGAACGGTGACACCTATTCGCTCTGCGCTCCTGAATTCCATGTGACCATCACACACGGTTCCATCGGATGCCCGAGTGGATGACAGTCTCACAAAAGGTGGGACATTATTGATAACGATGACATGAAACCATCTACACTTTGAATGTCCCATTAAAGATGGCAGTTCCCACAGGCATTTACCTCTGATCCCTCTTGAATCCTCACTAAAAACCCTGGAAGGATGTGCGTTTTCCAACACGTGAATCTGAAAGGACAAGGCAAGTGGAAGGGAAACAGCAGGGACAAAACAGAAGTGGGGAGGGGGTGAGTACGAGACGGAACTGACCCGTAGTCAGAGGCACTGCCCGACCTGTGGGGGACAAACCTGAGCTCCGGACCCGCATGGACCACTCGCGGAGAAGCTCGGGGACCAGCAGCAGCACGTGTCTCTGAAGCGGGAGAGGCAGATCGAGAGCCGGGAGGTTCATCACAGCACGCGTAGGAAGCAGTTGGCAGAGCATGGTGCGATGACACTGAGGTCCAGGGTTCAGTCCCTGTGCCGGCCACACGGACACGCACGCACACACACTCACACGGACACACACTCACACGGACACACACAGAGAAATCATAAGAAGTTTTAGTTAAAAGAAATTAAACAGTTGGTAAATTTGTGTCTTCTAGTTTCTTTTATTTAATTGTCTTATGTTTGTTTTTATCTATTTTTCCCTGAAGTAAAATTTAATTAAAAGATTTAATGGCCAGGTCATGTCTTTGTATTCTTTAGTTCTAGAATAACATTGTATCATGGATTTTTCTAGAGTCTCGCCCCGCTCCCTCACCCAAATCTCCAATGTCTGAAATAGGACATGATCCCCTTTAAAGTAAAACCTAAAGGTCTGGTTTTAGAAATGTAGAAAATTTTCTTTTAGTTTCTAAAATCTGTAGGCTTACTTATATTAAACCACTTTTATCTTATTTAGACTTTTTTTTCAGTAATGAAAACAACTGATACAGAAAAATTGATGCAGAGAAAGCATTTAACAAAACTCTTTCATGATAAAAACAACCAATGTACTGGAAACAAAAAGGAACTTTCTCAACATGATAAAGGTGATGGGAAAAACTCCCAACTCTCACATTCAATGGCGAAAGACTGAAAGCTTTCGACCTAAGATCAAGAATGAGTATGCTACTTTGATTAGTCTATTTAAAATAATATTAGAAGTTCGAGCCAGAGTTATTATGCAAGAAGGAGAAATAAAAGATATCCAAATTGGAAAAGAAGTTAATTTTATATGTAGAAAACTCTAAAGAACTCACACAAATACACGCACACATGCACACACACACACTCACGGACATGCACACACACACACTCACATGGACACATGCACATACATGCACACATGCACACACACACGGACACACACACGGATACACACTCACACACACATGCACACACACACGGACACACACACGGATACACACTCACACACACATGCACATGCACTCACACACATGCACATACACACTCACACTCACAAACACACATACACGCACACATGCACACACACACTCACACGGACACACGCACATACACGCACACATGCACACACACACTCACACGGACACATGCACATACACGCACACACGCACACACACTCACACGGACACACACACGGATACACACGCACACACAATGCACACACACTCACACGCACATACACACTCACACTCAAAACACACATACACGCACACATGCACACACACACTCACAAACACACACACACACGCACTCACACACACATGCACATACACACTCACACTAACAAACACACATACACGCACACACACTCACACGGATACACACTCACACACTCACAAACACACACATGCACACACACACTCACATTCACACACACACAGCAGTTGGAAGTTCCACTTTTGGTAATGCACCTAGCCAGTGTGCCAGTCACCATGCTGAAAATAACTTTAAAATATTGGATAAAATCCTTTTTTTTTTTTCCTTTTTGTCTTTTTTACTGACCGGTAACGGGATCGCAACCCTCGGTGTCGCACCCGCACTGCGCTCAGCCAGTGAGCGAGAACCGGTCTCCACATGGGATCCAAACCCTTGGCGGAAGCGCCGCCGCGCTCCCAAGTGGCGCACTCTCCAGTGCACCACCGGGCCGGCCCTAAAATCCTTTTTAAATTATCTTAAAATCCTTGAAGAACTGATAAAATAATAGGAAGTTATCAGGTTAAATCCAAGTGCAGGCAAGAATATAAATAGATTACATTACCAATCTAAAGAAGAGTATGTTATCAAATTGGATTAAAAACCAATAATAACAACAACAAAATCTAACCGTCTGCTATTTAAGAGAACTCTAAAGCACAGGCCTGCAGAAGCATTGCATTTTAAGTCAGAAAGAGGTACACTGTGCAGAAACTATAAATAGGAAGCTGGTGGAGTTATCTAGAAATGAACAAAACACTTGCAGCAAAAAATAGTAACATCAGCAAAGAGGGCCGTGTCAAAACCAAACATTCAGTTCACCAGGAAGACGCATGGATCCTCAGTCCACACGCGTCAGTGCACAGCCACAAAGCAAAGCAAACTTCAGCAGAACGAGGAGAGAGTCGAAGGCACAACCCTGGTGGGAGATTTCACCCGCCTCTCTCAAGGACTAACCAACAGCCAGGGAAACCATTAAGGACATGGGTTTGAAAAACGTGATTAACAAACAACTCTAGAAGACCTATGCAGAACACAAACAACTGTAGAATTTTAAATGCTCCTGTAATGCATACGCAGCGTATTTCCAAAAGCTATTTTTTTTTTTTTTTTTTTTTTTGTGACCGGTAAGGGGATCGCAACCCTCGGCTCGGTGTCTCCCGCACCGCGCTCAGCCAGTGAGCGCACCGGCCATCCTTATACAGGATCCGAACCCACAGCGGGAGCGCTGTTGAGCTCCCAAGTGCTGCACTCTCCCGAGTGCACCACGGGGCCAGGCCGGCCCCCAAAAGCTATTTTTACTGGGCCCAAACAGTTCTCAATAAATTGCAAAGGACTGAAATCATACAAAGCTTGTTTTCTGACCAAAAGTAATCAGCACAAATCAATAAGAAATAGAGAACTATAAAGTCACTGTGCTTTTGGAAAATAAGAAACATACTTCTAAGTACCCCAAGGGTCAAAGAAAAATTATAATGGAAATTATAAGATATTTTGAATGAAAACATCATATACCAAACTGAGTGCAGCTGAAGTAC